TCGACCAAATTGGCGATATACTAAAAATGAGCCAAATTAAGAGTACCCTTAACCGACGAGCATGTATGCGTAGGTATATATATGGATGTGGAAGAGGCGAGAAAGGTATGTCAGGATCGTGCTAAATGGAAGTCTGTAGTCTCTGCCTAACCTCTCTGGGTGACAGGCGTGAGTGTTTATGTTATGTTTTATGTTATTTCACCTCCTATACCCCGCACACCCTTCCGCGCCTCCGCTACGTCCTCAACTCGTCCAATGACGAACGCACACTGGTTAAAAGATATATCTCACAGTGTGAAGGGCGATCGCGGGATATTAATTTATATTTCGGGATATAATTATATATTATATCCTATAGTGGAAAGCCACCTTAATTGGGGATTGATATAGACGTTTACAAGCCACAGCATCCTCTTACTATCAGGTGGACTGTGTGGTAGTTTGACACTCATCTTCTTCTTATATAAAATGACTTGTGTCCGTTAGTCTCGCAAAAACTCGAAAGACCGATTTTGATGTTTTTTTGTGTGTGTATTTGAGCGTGTCTCTGGATAGTTAAAAAACTCAATTGGACCCGGTAGGCGTTGCTGTTGTCGAAATCCCGAAATCACCCGTGCAAATCCGGAGCGGATCGCTCATTTTATATGAAAAAATGCCTCGTACTAATAAAAACGGCCTTCGTTCACCTCACTCAGCTTACGAAGCAGCAGCAATACGCTGGTATTTTGAAGCGTGTGATCCTTCTTCCACCTAGCTATAATACAGCTGCAGCATGGCTTTACTTCAAATATAGTTATAAAACTGTAAACAGGAGTATTAAGGGTCCCCGCAACGGTCAATAGCTATGTGAATGATTATTTATGACAATAACGATTTTTTATTTTATGTCATTGAATTGATTGTTAATATTACTACTACATTTATTTATCAAATGACAAAAAAATTGACTGAGGCAATGAGGGATATCCACGACTTTCTGCCACTAGGGCGGCGCCACTTCGAAATGTGATAAAATTATTTGACAGATTTCATAGCGCGGGAAAGTTTATTTGTTAGAAGTGTGGTGATTAATGCTTCGTTCTAAAATATTAGTTATGTTTTATATTGATTAGATTAGAAATTGATAAAACAAACTACGGATATTCCTAATAGTAGGAGAATTAAAAAATATGTAAAAAATTAAAGAATACCTCACTGAGGCATTGTTTTGTGTATATACATACATACACTAAAAACAAAAACTTATAATTAAATCGTAACTTTTCTAAACTAACTTTTTTATGATGTTGACACTGGCCATCTACATAACAAATAAGTTCACCCGACTTGCGACGATTATTAGCGCATTAACGTGCCATGCAAAGCACTGACTTTTTTTTTGTGCCCGAAGCAATTAAAGGGCTACCCTATACGTAGGGAGGCGGAAAATGCATTACGCATACCACGATAGCCGGTCTATCGTAGGAGGGACTCACATCCTACCGGGGAACCTAAGTGATACCCTCTAAAAACTGCCTTTAGGGACTGGCAACTGGCTGATTAAGCTTTATTGTGGCGTATCGTGAGCGACCCTCTTTTGGGAAAAGAGGGCGCAGGCGGCTACGAGCCGCTGAGGGAGTGCCTACGAAGGCAGAAAAGCACTGACCTCTATATATGTCACTATATATATACACTTGTATATATAGTGGTCAGTGCACGCAAAGACTTTCAACTATAGTAAATGAAAATCGTTTTTTCTATGTTGTCCTTGTCTATGTTGAGATTTGTTGAAATCGGACGTCATCAAGGTATTGCAATTATATTTTTACTTATATGTATGCTTGTTGAACCAATTTTTATTGTTATGGCTGCATGTGTGAACTTTCTTAGGATAAATTCTAGCTTATTTGATATATGCTAAATGTATGCATGATTATTATGAATTATTAATGTATAAATAAATACAGAATTTGACGTTTTGTTTTATTTTGTAAACAAATCTTGTTAGTTTACCTTTTTTTAGCCCCTGATGAAAACAGAGTGGTGTTTTTTAAGTTTTTTCGTTTTAAGGGTGTCTTAATCAAGAATATTCTTAACTATGTTTCAAAAAACTCTGTTCAGCCGTTTGAAGATCTTCAGCTATTCTTTTATCGGGGGATTTTTTAAAATCTATTATTGACTTAATAATTTGACCATTTCTCGAAGGGGTCAACCACACAGTCCACCTGTGGTAAGATGCTGCAGCTGTGCCCACATTTTATCCTCGAATACAGATTGATAGAGGGCTCCTTGCCGCAGTGGCTTAGCAATGAGGGCCGCGGGTTTGAATCCCGCACGGAATTTGTATGGCCTACAAATAATTGTCCCGATTCTAAATATTAGTCCTTATGCAATTTACGTACGTAAACTGCCTCCATGATACAGCAGAAAATTCTAGTAAAGAGTTTAAAAAAGATTGATTGTCACCCCTAAGGACTAAGATGTAACATCTCGTTACCAGTGAAAAGAGCTTCGGGTTCTCACCATACTAAAGACATTATGTTGCTATTTCACACTGGCGTCTGTTACTAAGTACTACTTGAATGTGTGTACAGTCTTACAATACGTACGGTTGGACTCAGATCCATCGCACACAGTGTGTAGCACGCACTACGTAGCAGTGCTTTCGAATTTTAAAGAAATAGACACGCTTGATCCGTTTAACTCAGCTGAAGCTCTAACTCTGAGTATTTGCACACACATAATAATGCCCTCTGATTTCGGACATGATGGCCAGTCTCGATGGGGACTATAGCTATCTTTGCAGGAAAGGATTATAGTGCCCAAGTACAAATACGCAAAGCACGGGTGCACTCTATTCTCTCATTTATATTCTGATGGGACGGTAATCCGACACGACCGGAGAGAGGCGCGGTGGAAATAGCGCCAAATTTCTGACTTCGGACTGCTACTGAGAATTTCACGACAGAAGAACCCAGAACTGATTTTGTGGTCGGACATAAAACACAATAAATGATATTTTGGTTTACACAGACCCAACTTTGTAGCCAAAATCATAGATCAGTTATCTTACTTTAAATATCGTTCTGTAAATGGCTGTTAAAAATTATTACAGGAGCAACGATCCGCCGGCAACAAGTTACCGCCAAAACTCGTAGTTACTTTTTTAATATTATTAAAATTAGGCATTATGCTAATATTTTGTATTTAACCTAAAATAATAATTAAAAAAAGACACCGATACTGATACATTCACACCATACAACGAAACCAAACCTATGATCTAGTATTCTTTAAACGGATCATCGCAGTTCACGAGCAATTTATTAAAAAAAAATATTTTTGTTACTGTTGAAAAATAAGCCGAGGTCTGATTGTTTAGATGGTTAGCGCTTGCTGTAAATTTCACAGTACCAATGAAATTGTTAAATGCAATTTTAAGTGCGGATTTGAGCCGTGGTAGCTCAGATGGTTAACGCTGGATGTAAATATAACAGAACGCGAGTAACCCGGGTTCGATCTCCGCCGGCACCAATTAAAGTGTTAATTGCAATTTTAAATGCTGATTTACCACGTGCTCGGCGGTGAAGGAAAACATCGTGAGGAAACCTGCATGTCTGAGGAATAAGAGAAAAAAATATTTCGTAGACATGTCGCGACGGACACTTCCTTGCCCTAAAAACCCTCTCAGAAACGACGGGAGGCCTGTGACCGGCAGTTGGACGTATTATAGGCTGCTACTTTACTATTGAAAAATGAATTTGTAGTCCACCTGAAGCACAGAATAAATAATAGCATGAAACTATAAATGGCTACTGCAGCCTAAAAGATAGTCTGTGCGGCAGCCCATTGACACTAGCAAGTAGCAACTTCAAACAAAGAATGCTACGTATGGAGTGTAGAGGTAAGGAGTACAGACTCTGTATAAAAAAGTGTCCGCAGGAAAGCGGTTAAAAATAAGGGTGACAGCACTCGTAGCTACAGTCTAAATTTTAAAGAACTTTTATAATTTTTTATTGCATAGACTTTCACTATAATTGTTTTTAGAATAATTATTTTATTGCTTTGAAAATTTTTATTTTTAAAATCGCTCAACGTATTTAACGGCGATTTATTATGATATAGGGTATGCCCTGTAGCTACTCGAGTGCTGTTGTGGAGTTTTTGAACTGTTATTTACTGCTTACAGATGGACACATTTACAACTATTCTCCTATGGGAGATTGTCCTCCTTTCTTCTATACTCCATGAGGCTACGGAAACGGATGCGTTGTCACCTCTGAGGATAAGCATGCTTTTTTATTTATTTAACTGCGTTTACGGCTCTGGGTTCTAGCCCTTCAGAGCCTATCATTTCTTTCGGGATCTTCATTTTTATAGATTTTTTCTTCACAATATGCTGATGTGCCACATTGTAAAGTTTTTGGGAGGTTTTGACGATAGCTCAACCCAGCAGACAGTTGATAACGATAGTTACTCAAGTTCATAAAGCGTATAAGCGATCAAAATAACTTGAGGTTTATATCACAATAGAAGCACTTGTTTAGTCGTTTTCTCTGATAGTTTATGCGAGCAGGCACTTAATTCAGAAAATCGATCGATCACTTTTACGAATCAAAATCCACTACAAACCATTATTAAAGCGATAAAACAGGAGCAACAATCTGTCGACGGCCAAGTTCCCGCCAAAACTCCGATGGCATGCAAAAGCCTGTAACCAAAGAGTATATAATCACTACGTCCTACAGGACAGTGATTATATACTCTTTTGTAGTTACAACTATACTGGCCACTTTGAACCGGATCTCTGCAGTGCATGCGTTGCTGCCGGGCGGCAGAAATACGCAAGAGCGTGGCATACTTAGACCAACTCTTAGCCAGAAGCTCTGGAAGAACTAGTCCTGTAGTGTGATATATAAAAGGTGAATAAAACAAAATCTTTCATGATTGAGATTTAATTTTGCCCACAAATTTCTTGTTTCGAACTCCATTGAATTGATTTATCTAGCATATTTCGAAACTTAATATCCGTGCTTGGCAAGTGTTTGTTCTACTTCTTTCACGTATTTTTCTGCCACCTTCTGCTGTCTCATGGCTTCCACCTGTAATGGCATTGTTGTTTACAGGTAGGCAGGACACTATTTATAATGCCTGGGTAATACAAATAATGACAAATCAAATTGATCTACGTAATTAATCATGATAATTAAAAATGATTAAACTATATTATTTATCATAGACAATAAATGAAACTAATTTTATGATCGCGGATTATATTTGAATAATAATTTTTGGTCCCTACGTAGATCGGACCAAAAATTAATATTCAAAAACTGAAGGTAGCTGGGTTAACTACAAACACCTCAGTCCTCCCGTGACCATGGGTGCTGTAAAGCACCCAAAACGTCGGCTGTAAAATAGTTAAAATTAAAGGCGATAAAATCCGTTAAGTTAGTTTCATTTTATGGGCAGATAGGTATGGTTATGCCCTATGACCCCCCGTTCCCAGGATATGAACCCAGCCTATCTTTTTAATACTCTGTCCAATAAGAAATGGATGGTTTTTATTACATCAAAATTGGTAAGAATTATCTCGCACATATCCGCTCAATAAAATAAAATGATGCATCTTACCTAGTTTGAAGAGCACCTCCCGCCCTCGCTCATGTGCTTGCACTCATCCCGACACCACTAATCCTACCACCACCACTCCTAACGCCACTACACTATAAAAGACACACCATCGAGGATAATACGACACGTGTTTCGCCTCTACATGAGGCATCCTCAGAGGATGTAGACTCTGCGGTAACTGACCGCTAAGTCTAAGTCTTACTATTCTGTTTTGTAAGTATTTTAATATAATGGATTTCCGCAAAGTAACGCCCGATTCTATTAATTAGTTTTTATTACATGGCTGCTCATTTTCCAAACTGAACATTATGAATGATATATACCCTCTAAACACTTAGTCCATAACATCATCATTAAAAACTAATTAAATCCTTTTTATATTAAAAACACAACATTTGTTAATACTAGATAGACTGACGACCTGGTAATGCACATCTGGTAAACATGTAAAGAGTCGATGCAGGTATTTCAGGACCTTGCTTTGTGTCATTCATTGAAGTGAGGCTTACATTTAGCAATTACTGCAATGATATAGTAATCCACTACATTGCTGTACTTTACGGACGATGAAGCTAATCATTTGGTTCAACCACTTTTTCTGCTATCAAGATGGCGTCACGTAGAAATGTAATAAAATATTTGACAGCTTTACAGCAAGTAATATTACAGCTTTCGTAGCGAGGGAAGTTAATTTTAAGCAAGTTAATGTCAAGCGGTGGAAATGAATTTGCTCTTAAGTAATGCCACGAAGCACGGTCCTGAGCCACCTGCATCCATCGACATCTTCAATATCTCACCAAGTCGTCACTCCATCTAGTGTGAGGCCATCTTACACTTCGCCTACCTGTACGAGGCTGCCACTCGAGAATCTTCCTCCCCCATCGATTGTCGGGGCTCTTCGAGCTATATGGCCAGCCTATTACCACTTCAGCTTACCGATCCAGATATAATAGGAAAGTCTTTAATACCTTTTGCTTGATGACCATTCTCTCGTACTTTTCTTGTTGCTCCTGCTCCATTCGCAACGCTACGCCCTCGTTACGGATCTTCTCTCTTAGTTCCGCTCTAAGAAATGATTACACATATAATTATGGTCGCCGCATACGGTCAGTTCTACTGATCATTCCAACTAATCAGTTCAAACTAGGAATGTTGACATTTTTTTAAAATATCGGATCCGAGTAACTTAGGCTACGTTTATTTCAGAAAAATAATTAGGATACCGCGTAAAAAAATTAAAACTCAAAAGAACACTCCAAGAATTAAGATCCTGCTCCTTTATTGAAGTCGCCATAAAAGTACAAAAGGACTGTATAACTGTACCTAATTAAAATGCGAGTGCCTATTCATACGATAATCGAACGACCATTGTTTTCTTGTTTATACGATTATCGTTATATTTATTTATTTTGATTCATCCGATATCTTTTAAACATTTTCAATTTAATAAACAAATAAATAATAAAATATATATGTATATATTATACTCTGATAATTACTCGTATGATTAGGTTATTTGCGTCTAATAAAACATTATATCAATCTTGCAATATCAGTGACGGTAGGTTAAGGTGCGGCTGGGGTGGCCCCTGGGCTACCCTAAAGCCGCGTATATTATAGATAATGATATAATCGTTAACCATAAATAAATTTAATAAAAAATATAATATTCAAAGAATCGAACTTTTTTGCAAATTGTAATTGCAGCTTGCAAATGCTTATAGTTCGGTGTTTCTAAGTAAGGAACATGTAAAACAAAAAACCGAAACTAAACCAGTAAAATTCAAAACCGGTTCAACTTAAGTTCAGGTTGTAACAGATCCATGTTATGTCCCGGTGCAAAGTTTAGGTATTTTCACACATCCAATTCCGATCCCTGATTATAAGTCTATGATGATAAGTAACAATCAATTAAAATACTGAAAAAAAAACACTTGTGTGTTCTTACCTGGCGCGTTCTTTATCGTTGATTTGCTTCATGATCTCCTGCCGGTGTCGCTCGACGCGGGCCTTGCGTTGTTCTTCCAACTTTAAATGAACTTTTATTGTATTTCAATTTATCTTAACCATCTAAGCCAATTAAGATCATCATTCATTATAATATATCAGAGGTACACTGAAGAGAATTATGATGTCCTCCAGACCGAATTTTGCTCAAGGTGGCCAGTCGCAGTGTATGTGCAAGCACAAGTGCACTCTCTATTCCCTGTTTTTATTTACCTAACTCCCATAATTCATTCACTAACTATCATAGTCCGATGGGTCGGCAAAAAAGGTGGTATATTAAAAAAAATTATTTGTTAAGATTTCGCTTGTATCATTTACATTGTGTTAGCTGTTGATTGAATACTTAAAATGTCAGCAAGTAATTACAGGATATGAAGTGTTTCATCTGTATCGTCTTTCATCTCAACCTCATCTATGTAATACTCACTTTCTGCCTTCGAAAATGGTTTAGATTCACCATTGGACCCGGTTGATGGCGCCGTTGTCGAGATCCAGTAATCCCGTGACACTGTCCTCAATAGTGACAACGCGCCTGTGAACTTCATTGTTTTACTTATTGGGTCTGTTTTGCTTTGTCCATGGGCTACAGTAGCCACTTACAATCATAATGTAACAACCTATTGAAAGTCTATTGTAGAACATTAGTCCTTAATAAGAAGCTCAGCTAACTAGCATTCTGTTATACGACGACTCTGTGGCGCATTGCCTTAGCAAGTCAGCGCTGAGGGCCGCGGGCTACAATCCCGCATGGAACAAATTTTATGTCCTACAAATAATTGTCCCGGATCTGGATGTTAGTCCTTGAGAAAGTTTTGCACTGCCACCACGATACAGGAGTAAATCTTAGTGTGGTAGTGTTTTTTTTAAATAAACTGTAGTTGAACAAGTCATCTCACCTCTTTCTCCTTACGCAGGAACTCTTCATTTTGTCTGGCCGCGTTGTTGAAGCTTTGTTCATCCTTGGCTATTTCTCGTGCTATCAGCCGGTGAATATCATTGATCTGGGCAAAAACGGATATATAAATCTCAATGACCATATCCTTCTTGATCGAATTTCGGTCACGGCGGTAATTTTCAAGGGCGACTAGCCATTTACGCTGGCGTGAATGCGTAAGCACAGGTGCACTGTCTATTCCCTTATTATCATAGTCCGATGGGATAGCAAACCGGCACGACCGGTGAGAAATCGGGAGCAGGGCTAACGGCTTTACGTGCTTTCGGTGGCAAGAGGTGATACATCGCCAACTTCTTTACACCGGGCTACTTCTGAGAATATCTTGACGGAAAAACCTAGTAGTTAAGTGATTTTGCGCTGACCTATTATTATGTAGGTGTTTCAAGGGCAGTCTCATATAAAATTGGAAAAAGAAAAATCCACCCCTAAGGGCGAAAAATTGTTCTACTATTGCAGTTGCTCATGGGCGGCGGTAATCGCTTACCATCAGGTGAGCCGTATGTTCGTTTGACCCCTCTCCTATAAAAAAAACGAGTACTGTTTATCAAAATGATCAAAATTTGTGTATCAAAAAACATTCAACAGACAAATATTTAACCAGCATTAACAGTTGTAAAAATCCATAGAATGGAATGAATTCTTGTATTTGTCGGTCAGGAGCTATTTAAATCTGATACGTTGGTGTCATTTTCGTTAAGAGGTTTTGAAGTTATGCTTATTTTGATTATGTTATTCAATGGATCAATTTTGGGAAGAAATAAGTCTCTCTTCATCTCAATTTGATGGCTGTGAATTTGATGAGTGTGAATTTGATGGGAGAAGAACGTAAAATCTTGGCCTTTTAGCAAACATCCCTTATCGTGAGATATAACTCCGCATTTAGTAAGACGTTCCCCAACTACACGATCTTATATGATATCATATGAAGTTTTTAATGTACCTTAAGCTTGTGTTAGTCCTTATTTTACCGAAAAAGGTCAAAAAGTTAAACTTTAAATTAAAGTTTACTTGCCGACTTAAAAGAACTAAAAAGTATAAAATAATTTACACATAATACGTTTCAGCACTGATATTAGAAGCTATTTTAACTAGGGGTGGGAGTTGCGACGACGAACCGTTTACAAAGACCGCTTTGTTTTCTGCGACGATGAAACCGTTTTACGTGCTGGGTTCAAACAGTCTGCGTTGCACGAACTTGTCTTCGAACTACTTGATGCTATTTTTTATTTTACGCCCATAAAAATACAGTCGAGAACGCAATGATTCAACTATCTATCTCCCTCGTCGCGTCGTCGTCCTTAACGTTCCACGTTTCACGTTTATTTTAGTCTTTCGTCCCGCATTCGTTTACAAAGTCAAAAATCGTTGACAGTTGTACGAAACTGCCACCATTTCGATAAGTTTCGTCCTTTAAGCCGACTTTAAACCTGTTGAAACGCCGACCGTTTTCTGCAACAGTTTTCGTCGTCGGGAAAACGGTTGCGTTTCGTTCGTCAAATATTCGACAACGACCCACCACTAATTTTAACCACCAGAAAATTATTATTTCTGCTTTCGAAGATGCACCGACATGAACAAAACTAATTTTACATATTTTTATGGTGTTTAATTTAACGATATTTTTAATTCCCAACGTTTCGGGTGTTATACAACGCCCATGGTCACAAACAAGGGAATTGATGTATTTGACGTCCCGATATATCGTCATAGTTCTACCCATAGAATATTATAATACATACATAATAGAACGTGTGAGTGGGCGGAGCCCGCGTAGCCTATAAAATGTCACTAACACGTCGATTCATACGTATAAACGTCAACACGAGATGTGTTTTGACGTTACAAAATTATTTTTTATTTGGCATTTTCTAAATTCTTTAATTTCAATTATTAAACTAAATTATTTAGAAAATTCTAAATTGCACCATATTTACAAATAAATATGTATTAAAATTGAATGATGATCTTGAACATTAATCTAAAGTTTAAAATATGTAAATTTACTCAGTCTGCAAACACAGCGAATCGAATTTGGCGACGCCAATCCTCGTATAAAATTAAGTTGACGGCCATTCTATTGTGTATTATAGTATTCTATGGTTCTACCGGATAACTCCAGCTTTTGAATATTCATTTTTGGTCCGATCGGTATCCAACGAGCTTACAGTATCCTGTAGTCTTGTAGTCCTATGCTTGGGTTTAGATTTAATTTTATTAATTATAGGAAACCAAGTAGATGGTAGCCCCCAAAAGATTTTTTTTTAATTTTAATAACTTCACGAACCGTCCTGGGTAGGAATCGGTGCTATTTTGCGAGGATTTGTGGCTATGAAATTTGACGTAATGGCGGGACGATTATAATAAACATGTTTACAGACTGCAGACTTCCTATCATCATCATCATCATCATCATTTCAGCCCTTCACAAGTCCACTGCTGAACATAGGCCTCCCCCAAGTAATGCCACAAAGCACGGTCCTGAGCCACCTGCATCCATCGACTTCCTGCATGTCTCACCAGGTCGTCACTCCATCTAGTGGGGGGTCGCCCTACACTACGCCTACCGGTACGAGGCTGCCACTCGAGAACCTTTCTTCCCCATCGGTTATCGGTTCTTCGAGCTATATGGCCGGCCCATTGCCACTTTTAGCTTACTAATCCGTTGGGCTATGTCGGTCACTCTGGTTTCACTGCGGATATCCTCATTTCTGAGTCTATCACGCAGTGAAACTCCGAGCATAGCCCTCTCCATAGCTCGCTGAGCGACCTTGAGCGTCCTCATACGGCCAGCGGTGAAGGACCACGTCTCAGATCCGTAAGTCATCACTGGCAACACGCACTGGTTGTACACTTTAGTTTTCAGAGATTGAGGTATACCTGATGAGAAAATGTGTCGTAATTTCCCGAACGCTGCCCAGCCGAGTTGAATCCGTCGATTGACCTCTCGGTCGAAGTTGGACTTACCTAGTCGGACTATTTGTCTCAGGTAAACGTACTCGTCAACAACTTCGAGCATAGTGCTCCCAACATTACCGGCATAGGTGTGACATGGACATTAAACATGATCTTTGTTTTGTCCATGTTCATCTTAAGACCTATCCGTTGGGAGACACCATTGAGGTCATTGAGCATAGTGCTAAGGTCCTCCAGCGATTCTGCCATAAGGACTATATCGTCGGCAAATCGAAGGTGAGTGATGTACTCGCCATTGATGTTAATACCGTATCCTTTCCAGTCCAGTAGCTTGAAAACGTCTTCCAACGCAGTGGTGAAGAGTTTCGGGGAACATAGAATATAACTATATAACTTCCTATAAGGTCAGTGTTTCACGTCAGCTACATGTTCTACTATATGTATCCGTAAAATATGTTTTATTTTACAATTATTCATGTACTCGTAAATACAAGAAATCATTATGTACCGACCTGGTTGACCCTGGCCTCGTGCAGTTGCTTCATATCCTTGTTTCTTTTAATGGCAGCCTCTCGTTCTTTGCGTCGGTATTCGCGTTCCACGTCCTCCTGTATTTTCAGGTTGCGAATGCGTTCTAATTCCTCCTTCAGCTCTTGTTCAGCCTGCGGAATTATTTTATTCATGTGTGAAAAATAAATTGCATGAATTCATGTATGAGTGATCTAGATAGAATCGCCATTTCACAGAATAGGTACTTAATTTACATACAATTGTATGTAGTAGAAATAGAAATAGGTACAGATTTATTTTATTCAATATAGATTATAAATAATACTTAATTGAAAGTCACTGATATGTTTAATTTACTACTGGTTCGAATACGTCCACTAGTTCTAGGAAGAACCAGTAAGAAACCTAGTGAGACAACTTTTTTGAAAAAAAAAAACAGTTTACAATCATATTATGTGTTGCACAGTTAAGAACACAAAACGAATTAGAAATAGCTTGGTAGCGGTCTCCTCATTCCCAGGGGATATTATCATCCACGAATTCATTAACATTATAACAACCATAGACTTATTAAACTACCGCGTGTGGACCGGGTCATTGAACAAACACAATGGCATCAACTCATTCGTGCTAAAATGTTTATGGAGCACCAACGCGACCACCAATGCATGCCGTGCGTCCGTGCAGTGTTTCAACTTCTAGATATTTTGCACTATTTTAGGGTAAATCTACTAATATAGGTAGGGCTTTAGGCGTTTTTTAAAGTTGACAGGGTTTTGGATAATTTGGGGTTAAACCGAACTTCATGTAACCCTGATTTTTATTCCCACCCAATGTATTTTTTAAATATTTATAAAAGGGGCTTTTTTATTAAATAAATATAAACATATTTATCAAAAGAGCTAGCAAAGTCTACAATAAAAAGTTTTTATTTAATAAATATTATAACAAAAAGAACAGAATAATGGTATATTTTTACTTAGTTACATATTCGTTATTCATATGAGACTAAGTGTTATTATAATTTGAAAATGATAACATCTTCTTCATCACAAAACTCAAGATTTTTATATTATAATGAAATTCAAATCTTGCAATGATATTGTTCTTTAAAATATTGAAAATTAGGTGCATTAAATAAGGCTATTGATCTTTTTACGATAATTTAAGGAGTATTTCTACTGGTTCCAGGGTGCAACCTAAATTATAAGTGAACTGGTTCTGTCGTACTTCATGACTATTTAAGAGATGGCGCTGATTTATTCTATGCTTGAACCGTGAACAATTTTAGTTCGAACGGCCAAATCTTGTCATTTATATCAATGATAATGTTAAGAGCTTAGGGTTCGTGACAATAAAAATTGCCGATAGAATTACCAAAATTAACACTTCAATTCACTTTACACTAATTAAAACTTAAAAGACACTAATAATTAATCACACTGATTCACTTTGTTTCGCTCCGAAGCTTCGCTTGTCTCGCCAAATTCAATACTGCCCCGACCGCGTCTTGCAGCGCCTTTAAAACACATTTTCACCGAAACGTCCAGAATATTCAAGTTAATACGCGCGCCAACCGACCAGGCGCAGAAAGTTCGAGTGTGGGGCTTCCAGAAAGCTTAATTCTTCTGTTCGATACTAGATGGCGCTGTTGGTCGAAAGATTAGTCATGTCATTTTCTGGAAAGCTCTCCTCGCTTTGTTACCCGACACTAGATGGCGCTAGTGCCGGGTACATGACGTAAACTTAGGCGCGCAACAATAATAACCCTTTTTATACAATCTTTGTGAAGTTGAATTATTATGTAACCTTGTAGTGGCGGTGTAAAGTGCTTTAACCGTCCCGTGGGTGTCGGAAGAGGCGACAGAGGGAAACTGGAACAGGGGTGGGCAGCAACCGATAACAACTTAAAATAATTTAAAAAAAAATGTTTCTGACTAACTCTAGCAAATTTATCTTTATACGATAAGATATGAGTGAGATATGTTAGCAGTGGACTAATATAGACAGTAATGCATACATGGACGACTTGTTTAAAAACTACATATATATTTTACGTCTGGTGTAAACGAAATTGTCACACTATTTATTGAAAGCCATAATATTCTTCTGGCATTTCCCATTATCGCCTCTTACGACACCCACGGGAAAAAATCCCTTCGTATCGTCATTGTATACTTCTTAAAGTATTTTAAAGATAGTTTACGAAAATATTTTTCAAAATAAAACTTTTTTTAAAATAAAAGTGACAAACAAACACACAGTCCACCTGATGGTGAGTGCATTTAGCGGCCCATAGACATCCAAATCTATCCTCAGTAAATAATCAACATGCAGATGCGTTGTAGCCTCCCGGCTATGGGGTGTAGAAGTAAGGAGTACAGACTGTGTATTAAAAAGTGTCCATAGAAAACAGTTAAATAAGGGTGGCGCCACTATAGCTACGGGCTAAATTTTAAAGAACGTGCCGAAAAATATTAGTGGGATAGACGTCTTTTTCGAGGTTATATTTACTAAATAAAATTATTTTAGATTTTAGAGCTACTGATCAGTTTGGCAGCACACTTAAACCGTCGACAACTGCTAAGTTCATTTCATCCCAGTAGCTACTCCAGCGCTGTTGTGGAGACTTTTTGAACTGTTATTTACTGCTTACAGATGACCATTTTTTCAACTATTCTACTATGGGAGTTGGTACTCCTTACTTCTAGACTCCATACTCCCGGCCACACACTCATCGAGTAGCATGGGGAGTAGCGAGGAAAGGAGACAGAGACATAGTATTGCCACAATACTCGTCATGTCGCACGTCAAGCTCCTCGTCATGTCCATCGCTCCCTGTTTTGTCAGTTGTTTGGGCGCGAATCAAAGGACTGGCAATATGAGCTCGAGTGACGGGCCACATAATGGCGCGAATAACGCTCGTTACCGAAGTGTCGTTCTATTGTGATGAATAGACGCCATCCACCATCTCCGTTGACGAGGACGACGACCTACATTTCTTTTTATGACATTTATTTAATTAGCTATACTAAATATGCATATGGCGCGCATGCTACCACAGTTTCAACATACATTGTGTTGCAAACTTGAGATACCTAGTAGGGAGTGACGCGATTAATTGCGCGAGTAGAACAGTGTGTGGACAGACAGGGCAACATCACGATGAGCAGCGTGAGCAGCATAGTGTGGCTGAGCCATAACGCCTGTAGACTAGGGTGGAATGCCTCGTTTCCAGTAGGTCTCCGGTTCTCTATACTCACCATACGAAACATACAGGATATACCTGTCATTTTACGCTGGTATTCTGTGAGAGCGTGGTCCTTTCATTCGTGCTACAATCATAATATACGTGCAGTATGGCTCTACCACGTATCAAATTAATAAAATAATGTATGTAGCCCACCTTTTGGGCCTTAGCAATATGATCGATGCCCTTCTGTTTGGCGGCCTTCACAGCCTCCGCTTGCGCTCTCGCGCGTGCTTCTCTCTCTTGCCTCTGCTTCAAGAAGTTCGCGATGCGACGGTTCATTATACGCTCTTCTTCGTTCTGCAGCTGTTTATAGTACAGCAGTTCAGCGTTACCTTGAAAGAAAAAGATTTATAAATGAGAATAGTCAATTCGACTAAAAGTCGACTCCGTGGCGCAGTATCTTAGCAAGGATATGCAGCGCTGAGGGCCGCGGGCTCGAATCCCGCACGGAACAAATTTTATGCTCTACAAATAATTGTTCCGGATCTGGATGTATGTCCTTTTGCAATTTACGTATGTAAACTGCCTCCACGATACAGGAGAAAATCCTAGTGTGAGAGTTACGTTTTTGAAAATAAGAAAAAAATGATGAAGACAAGTGATGAAATTAAAAATTTTGTGCAACCGACTTCAATATACATATAATGATTTATCGTTGGTTTTTAAAAACCACTCGACCGATTTCGATATAATTTAAATGGGACCAACTGGGAAGTATAATCTTTAAAACAAAGAAAATTTTTCCAAATCGGTTCAGACGTTTTCGAGTAATTGGTGAACACACGTCAAAAGAAAAAGATTCCGGAGAATTGAGAACCTCCTCCTTTTTTGAAGTCGTTTGAAAAGTCAAGGATACGGACTGAGAAACTCAAAAGTCGTGGGTTCAACTTCAAATCCGTCATTCGACCAATGAATCACTTGACAGCTGAAGTGTTATTAACGGGCTAGTATTCTTAAAAAAAAAACTGACTGTAGTCGTCGTAGGTATCTTAATTACCGATATGTGGTCCATGACCACTCGCAACAAACTCACTATAAATAAAGAAGGATGGAGATGGTGAGCTTCATATACATATCCTGCAATTTGACTGATATGTCTATAGATGGAAGAGCTATGCCGCAGCTATTTTTATATAGGGTCCGCCATCTAACTTTTTTTTCAACTAGTGCTTATTTCGTGAATGGCAACACTTAGCTCATGTCTAATTTGACAGATAATTAGTTTTATCCTTCCGCTGAACGAATATGGTTGTGTATACGCTTGAACAACGCTGGGAAATATTGCGACATTACTTTGAAAATCATGGTAATGTTGCAGAATGTGTGCGAAAATTGTGTACGGATTTTGGAAGAAATGAAGCACCGTCAGCTCCGTATGTTCGTTAACTTGTGAAAAAAGTGAAAGAAACTGGCATCCTTATCGATAAACCAACGCGTGAAAAGCCAAAAACAGTGCGTACACCCGAGAATATTGTTGCTGTGGCCGAAAGTGTGCGTGAAACGCCATCAACATCAGTTCACCGTCGTTCTCAATAATTGGACATTTCGGAGACATCATTGAGACGAATTTTGCGTAAAGACCTTGGTATGACGCCGTACAAAATCCAATTGGTTCAGGAGTTGAAGCCAACTGACCATCCAATGTGTTTTCGCTTCGCTAAGTGGGCCTGCGATCGACTTGCAGAAGATGCGGATTTTGCCAAAAAAATCATCTTTTCAGATTAAGCTCATTTCGAACTTAGCGGGTATGTAAACAAGCAGAATTGTCGCATTTGGGGCACAGAAAACCCGCACGCATTCATCGAAAAGCCGGTGCACCCAAAACGAGTCACTGTTTGGTGCGGATTTTGGTCCAGAGGCATAATTGGGCCATTTTTCTTCGAAAATGAGCAAGGTGTGGCCGTTACAGTCAATGGCGATCGTTATCGGTCCATGTTGAACGAATTTTTGTTCACAGAAATTGAAGAGGAGGATATTGGCAACATTTGGTTTCAACAGGACGGCGCAACGTGGCACACAGCCGACGCTACACTTGATGTTTTGCGCCCTGTTTTTGAAAATCGCATTATCAGCCGCAGAGCTGATGTCGTTTGGCCACCTCGGAGCTGCGATTTGACACCGTTGGACTATTATTTGTGGGGTGCCGTCAAAGATAATTGTAACGCCGACAAGCCAGAGACAATTGACGCTTTAAAGGACAATATTCGTGAAGCCATTGGTGAAATACAGCTGCACACAATCGATAATGTACTCAAAAATTGGACCGATCGTGTAGGCTACTACATGGCCAGCCGAGGCAGCCATTTGAATGAAATTATTTTCCATCATTAACCGGAAAGATTGTACTTATTCAAATAAAAAAAGAAATTTGAAAAAATATTTAGTAGTTTTTTTTAATAGCATTTGTAAAAAAAAAGTTATTTGGCGGACCCGCTAGTTGCAGCACTAAAGGATCGTGTCGACTAGAAAAGGACAGTGCTCTCACAGAACACCAGAGTAAATTGCAGATTAATGGTGCTATATTTAGTATGGTGAATAAAGAGTACCGGAAAACCTTTTTACTGCAAACGAAGCATTACGTATTAGTCCTCACAAATCAGCTGCATTATAATATTGTCCTCCAGACCGAATTTCACTCACTGCGGTCTGTCTCAACGGAGACCAACTATCGGCGTAGGACAGAATTATGGTGACCAAGTGTATGCGTAAGCACAGGTGCACTCTCTATTTCCTCACTCTCATAATCCGACGGGACGGTAAACCGACACTACCGGAGAGAGATCTCGCTTTCCGAGGCACGGGGGTGAGACACCGCAAACTTCCTGACTCCGGGCAGCTACTGAGAATTTCTTAACGGAAAAACTCAATAATTAATTTGTTCGTTCGACCTGGGATTCGAACCCAGGATCTCATCAGTCGCACTACTACAACCTCTAGATCAAAGAGGCAGTCCATTATAGCAACTGCATTATAATTTTCATTTAGAGGCAGATGTCGATGTCTATGGATCAGAGCAACTAGGTATCAGGTGGACTGTGAGCTTGTTTGTCACCCTCTTTGTATAATAAGCTCCATACCCAATAAATCAGAACATTACCTTGGGTGATGACAGAATTACCATCTTCACTATGGTTTGGCTCTTTTTCAGTCTTGTAGTGTGTGAGGATAGGTATTACCCATTCCTGCCGCCAACTATGTTACGGTCTGAATACATTACATACACTATACACATAATACACACACACACACACACACACTACACACACACACACACACACACACACACACACACACACACTACACGATCACTACATACACACACATTACACTATACACACACTATTTTTACTCTCTCAATTAATATATTATGAAAGAAAAAAAAGAACGTTTTTTATACGAGGTAGAGCCACGCTGCAGCTATACTATGGTTGTAGCACGAATGGGTCGTCTCGACCGGGGAATTACCACGCTCTCACAGAATACCAGCGTAAAATACTGCTGTGTTTCATATGGTGAGTGTAGAGGTACGGAGATCCTTTTTTGCCAGAAACGAGGCATTTCGACTTAGTCCTCAGGGATGACAACGCATCTGCGTTTTGATTCTTAATCGAGGATAAATGTAGATGTCTATGGGTCACAGCATCCACTTACCATCAAGTGGACTGTGTGCTCGTTTGTCACCTTTTATTACGGCCCTCAATTACCCCGACAAAAGTCGACTGCCGCCTCAAAGAATTGCAGGCCACCAAGACTGGATTTACGATGTCCGGACGTAGTCTGGCCTGGTCCTTAAGCAGCGGGAGGTTTAGCAACTGCTTAACGTGTTCGTCCGCGATTCGCCGTACGTTGGCGTACCTTCCGGCGAGGAGGTTCCGAGCGGTCTGGTAGGCGTCATCCGACAATTTCAGATGGCCGACGACGCTCAGGGCCTCCCCCTCCAGTGAGGCCAGGAGGTAAGCCATCTTCTGGCTTGGTGCCAAGTCCCTTCGGGCGTCCACTAGGCTACCAAATAGTCTAACAAAGGTCAGCCAGTCGGAGAGGACCCCGGAGAACCTTGGTAGGTCCAGAGTTGGAAATCGTCCCAACAGCTCCGGCTGAGTAGGCTGCTTCCGAGGGACTCGAGCAGGCCACCCAGCCGAGCTTCATGAGCATACTTGGCCCCCGTCTCGATCAAGTCGTCCGTGAGCGAAAAAAATTGCTCGTTGTCCGCGAGGCAGGAGTCTAGGACTCCCTGTTCCGCTCCCGAGACCAAAAGCTCAGTGCAAGCCTCCTCCACTACGGCCCTTCTGGCTATGACCTACTCGAGCCGCTTCTCTAAACTATGGACCCGATCGGGTCGCCCTATCAAGCTGTGGGCGTTCGCGGCCCAGCGCAGCTCCGCCTGCAAGCAAAGCGCCGGTGGCCTGTGCGATGGAATCACTATTAAATACAAATACTACTAAATTAAAACAAATACAATTACACTACACCGCAAGTACTCACTACAGTTGGTCAACAAAGATGCCACGCTAAGGCGACCGACCCTTCGGCAATTTAATCTACAATACAAATACAAATACTAAATACAAATACCTGACGCGTAGGTACCTAACTCTAAACTACACTCCGTTTGCGCAGCCTAACGGCGTGGTTCGAACCACTGATCCGCTAACAAACAACAAAAAGAATTTATTATTGTTACGGCCGGGCGTGATTGCAAAAACAATCAACCACGCTCTGCTACCAGCAATATTACGGCCCTCAATTACCCCGACAAAAGTCGACTGGATTAGAGCCCATAGTAATCCAACTCGACGAGTAACTGAGGGGAGGGCCCAAGGGCCTATGGATAATTAATTTATAACGGCTAGATACGCAAACACAAAACTTACCGAATTCCGTAGGTGTAGGTCGACCACAAGGCGTCGTCAGGGGCAAGTAAATTATATGTGTGAGTGGTGTGTGAGAAGTGTGTAATGTAACCTGATGTTACCGATATAATCAGATAGCAGAACCGCATGCGCTGCCCAGCTTCTCTTGTGCAATCACTCCAGAGGGCGTTAGCCGCTATCGGAACTAAAGTTCAACGTCACTTAGCACAAATATAATCGGAGTGAACGCGATCTCCTCCGGATCACAAAGTTTAGCGTCCCACGCGACAAAGCAAAATTCCTTCTTACAATATTTACACGAGCTACTCGTCGATGCAAATTAATAGCAATCTAAGTTAATTCAATAATTGAAAAATCAAAAAAGCCTCGTTGTCACGTATATTAACGACAAAATACAACACCATGGAGGCCGTCTTTATTCGACGCCGTAATCGTTATCAAAACTCGCGACCTCTAAGCGACCCGGGCGTCGCGCAAATCGAGTTCATCATCATTACAGCCCTTCACAAGTCTACTGCTGAACATAGGCCTCCCCCAAGTAACGCCACAAAGCACGGTCCTGAGCCACCTGCATCCATCGACTTCCTGCATGTCTTACCAGGTCGTCACTCCATCTAGTGGGGGGTCGCCCTACACGACGCCTACCGGTACGAGGCTGCCACTCGAGAACCTTTCTTCCCCATCAGTTATGGGTTCTTCGAGCTATATGGCCGGCCCATTGCCACTTCAGCTTACTAATCCGTTCGGCTATGTCGGTCACTCTGGTTCTACTGCGGATATCCTCATTTCTGAGTCTATCACGCAGAGAAACTCCGAGCATAGCCCTCTCCATAGCTCGCTGAGCGACTTTGAGCGTCCTCATACGGCCAGCGGTGAAGGACCACGTCTCTGATCCGTAAGTCATCACTGGCAACACGCACTGGTTGTACACTTTAGTTTTCAGAGATTGAGGTATACCTAAAGTGAAGATGTGTCGTAATTTCCCGAACGCTGCCCAGCCGAGTTGAATCCGTCGATTGACCTCTCGGTCGAAGTTGGACTTACCTAGTCGGACTATTTGTCCCAGGTAAACGTACTCGTCAACAACTTCGAGCATAGTGCTCCCAACAACTACCGGCATAGGTTTTGACATGGACATTAAACATGATCTTAGTTTTGTCCATGTTCATCTTAAGACCTATCCGTTGGGAGACACCATTGAAGTCATTGAGCATAGTGCTAAGGTCCTCCAGCGATTCTGCCATAAGGACTATATCGTCGGCAAATCGAAGGTGAGTGATGTACTCGCCATTGATGTTAATACCGTATCCTTTCCAGCCCTATAGACGTGAAAGTCTTCCAACGCAGCGGTGAAGATTTTCGGGGATATAACGTCACCCTGTTTTACACCTCTCTGCAGTTGGATACGCTTCGAACTCTGGTTCTGTACTCGGATAGCCATCGTAGCCCTACTGTACAAACACTTCAGCACTTCGATATACCGACAGTCAACTTGGCACCGCTGAAGGGACTGTATCGCCGCCCAAATTTCGACGGAATCAAAGGCTTTCTCATAGTCCACATACGCCAGGCAAAGTGGCAGATTGTACTCCTCGGTCTTCTGTACAATCTGCCGCAGGGTATGTATGTGGTCTATGGTATTGAAGCCTTTTCGGAAACCGGCGTGTTCGGGAGGCTGGAAGTCTTCGAGTCTGCGTGCGAGACGATTCGTAATGACTCTCGAAAACAGCACGTAGACGCGGCTCAGAAGGGAAATCGGTCTTTAGTTCTTCAAGAGAGCGTTGTCGCCTTTCTTAAAGAACAAGACCACCGCACTTCTGCTCCACGCCTCCGGAGTAGTGCCACCGTGAAGGACGGAATTGAAGAGCTTCTGAAGGACGATTCTAAAAACCGGGGCTTTTCTTGGCCCCCCCTCTACAAAAGAGGCGTTACAACACAAGAAGTACCTTCGTGCACAGGGCATTATATATGTAAAAAGAAAGTAAAAAAAAAAAAAAAACCATTTTGGTGTTCCACCCGCTTTCAGAAGCTCCGCTGTAATTCCATCCTAGCCTGGGGCCCTGCCGTTTTTAAGGTGCTGGAGAGCCATTCTAATCTCGCTTCAGACTGACGTCCGGGATATCATCGGAATAGTGTCGGGTAAGACTTGCTCTTGGATCGTTACTCACACTTGCGTGTGGCTCCAACGATGATGTGTACAGCTGCCCATAGAACCTCTCAATCTCACTCAAAATCTCAGGTGTCTCGGAAACGATGCTGCCACACTCAGTCTTCGGCTTTGACAGTTGGCTCTTTCTGGCAGACAGATCTCTGGCAAAGACTTTGGAGCCCTGGTTCCGCTCGATCGCTTCTTTAATACGAGCAGTATTAAAGTTGCGTAAGTCTCGCCGCATGCATTCGGAGATCTGTCTGTTCAGTCGCCTGTATGCTGTCAAATCTGTTGACGATTGCAGCCTTCATCTCCCGACTAACAGCCATGAGATTAAGAGTGTGATCGGAGAGTTTTTGTGTTCTTCTGCGGCGGGTCTTGCAGAACTTAGCTCCGACCGCATGGACAGTTTCCACGAGCTTGTCATTCATATCGTCCACTGCATTGCAATCTTCTAGGCACTGAAAGCGGTTACGTAACTCGAGCTGAAAAGATTCGGGATTCTGGATTAGAGCACGAGGGGGACGGAGCGTTGACTTCATTAGACGAGACCTCTCCAACTTAACGTTTAGGTTCAGTGTGCCTCTAACCATTCGGTGATCGCTGCCGGTTTTCACCCTTGCGATCACTGAGACATCCCTGAACAGTTGGCGTCTGGTCGTCATAATGAAGTCAATCTCATTTTTTGTCAATCGAATGTTCTAGTCTAATCTCGTGACCCCCACCGGCGCAGCTTCAGACTGCCGGCTGCCGACTGCCAGGCGCTGTCGCCGGCGCAAAAGAATACTCCATCCGCACAACCCGCTAACCGACCCGGAACGCGCCTTGCAAGCTTCAAATGCCACAACTAGGCGTAAACACCCTTATTCTATAAAAAAAAAACATTGGCTTAGCGTTAAATTTAGTACAAGTGGTTCTTGCTTTAATAAATTTTATGATATGGAAGAGGGGATACGGGCGCATTTCACGTTCAAAAGAAGAAGTCTACTACGGTATATATATTTGTAAGACCGTGTTTATGAATGAAACCTTTTTTATTTTATTTTTATAAGGGCAAAGAGAGCCAGTATAACTATAGGCTGTGTGGTCATCCATCTTGGTCCCCGGGAACGAAGATGGATGATGGATGCAGGTGTCTATTGGCTGCAGAACCTATCAAGTGATCTGATAGTTTACTCTAATGTTGTAAAAAAGTTACAAAGTAAACTTAATTTCTTATTTCCACGAAATAACGCCTGATTTAACGGTAGCAAACCGTACTACCGTACCTTCCATATTTAAAGTAAACGGCTCCATGGCGCAGTGGCATAGCCATGAGCAGCAACTTGGGCCGCGTGTTACGATCCCGCACGGAACATATTTGTATGGCCAACATACAAATATGTTCCATGCGGGACATATTTGTATGTTGGCCATACAAAACTATATAAAATGGGAGAAAAACTTAGTGGTTCAAGCAACTTAAAAAAAAAAGGCTTTAGAAGTCACCATTAGGATCCATTGATACTATAATATTGGAAAAAGTAAAAAGTGAATACTTATTTTTGAATTTGATTTAAAAAGATCGTATTGTGGACGAAAGTCATGATGATGGTGACTATCTTAATTACCGTTACTGTTATCGTTGCGGCCTTTCAAAAGGCCACTGCTGAAAGTAGACCTTGTTTTAGGTTTTAGCTTATTGGGATATTTGTTATTATGCCATAGTTGCCATGCTAGACAAACCGGTTGGCACCCGCAGGTTTTTTAGTTACTTAAAAAGGCGCTGCTTACAATCTTCTATTTTCCTTCTGTCACCTCTTACGACACCCACGGGATGATATGCGGTAGTGGATATTCTTTAACCGCCACTACAAGGTCAAGAAATTCATGATGAATCTTTTGTTAATTACCAACCTTGGACAAGCATCTCTTTAAGCTTTGCCTGTCTCTCCTGCTTCTCTTTCAACTTCTGCGTCTCGTCAATTCTCATCGCGATGTTGGCCTGGTTCACTCTTATGCTTTCTTCTTCAATGCGCTCCGCTTCCATTATCTAGAAGAAAACTTTAACGTTGAATTTTAAAAAGTTATCTATATAAAACAATTCTATAATAAGTACTCAGTTTAATTTATGGAGAAGGCCCATGTTCAGCAGTGGGTCTTGCTAGGGTGTCATAGATGTATGGAAGGATGAAGTACTTGGCTACTACGTCATCGGACCAGAGCTCGAATCCCAGCCAAAGCCAACACTTTTTGTGCAAGTAAGGGTAAACAATTCACCTTTTTTTATAGAATTAGAGTGACCAATGAGCACACAGTCCACCTGATGGTAAGTGGATGCCGCGGTCCATAGACATCTACATTTATTCTCGATTAAGAATCAAAATGCAGATGGGTTGTCACCCCTGAGGACTAAGATGGAATGCCTCGTTTCCAGTTAAAAACGATCTCCAGATCTCTACACTCAACATACCAAACACAGCAACATTAAGCTACTATTTCACGCTGGTATTCTGTGAGAGCGTGGTCCTACCCTGTCGAGCCGATCCATTCGTGCTACAACCATAATATAACTGCATCGTGGCTCTACCACATATAATACATCATGTATAGTTGATGATAATGGATGATAAAAAGACATCTATGTCTATCCTCGAATAAGAAGCAAAATATAGATGCGTTGTCACCACTGAGGACTGAGATGGAATGCCTCGTTACAAAAGGTTCTCCACACTCACTGTACAAAACACGGCAGCATTAAACTGGTATTTCACGCTGGTATTCTGTGAGAGTATGGTCCTTCTCTGTTCGAGCCAACCCACGGCTACACGTGTTACAACAATAAAGGTACGGACAGATGTGCTCATTACTAGCACGAAAGCATGCTTTTATTGAGCAAGTGCTCATTGGTACCACGTGTTCTCATTCTATTAAGCATGCTTATCAAAAATTAACAGACGTTTGTTTTCGAGCATGCTACCTGAGGCACGTCTGAACAGGTTTGCTTATAATTATTTCAATATGATTATTTTATCGAAGTATGTTAGGATAACACTGTCCTTATACCTTTGTACATCCATTTTGGTCGAGAGCCTGGTACTAAATAGCACGTCTGTCTAAAGTTTGCTTTGAGCATGCTTATTTATGAGTATGCTTTAAGAGAGCTTATTGCTGGCAAATGTGAACAGTTGCAGAGCACGCTCATTTTAAGCAAGCTTATGACTATGGTTTTTTTTGAGCTCGTCTGTACGTACCATAATATAGCTGCAGCGTGACTACCACGTTTAAGTGTGGATAGAATTAAATTGTTTTTCACCAGCTTTTCAATATACGTCAAGGCTTGGGTCTTACCATTAATTAGTAGGTTATACTTACCCTTATTCTATAAAAATCTTACATGCGCGTCGAATATAGAACCACCTTCTTTTTAGAATTCGGTGAATGAAATGAATACCTTAGCAGTGTCGTGAGCTTGTATCTGCTCCTTTAACGCGGCGAGGTTTTGGAGGCGCAGTTGATGACGCCGCTCCTCTTCCTCTTCAGCTCTCTTAACAGCCGCTTGGCGGTTCTCTTCCATGATCGCGTCCAGTCTGATAACACATAGACACTGACTGCCTTGTTGGTCAAATGGTTTTAAATGCGATTGTCGATAATGAGATCCCAGTTTCGAATTCAGAGTCGGGCGTAAATCTGTTATTGGGTTTTTCCGTCAAGATATTCTCAGTCCGGACTCCGGAGTCAGGAAGTTGACATTATTTCACCCCCTTGCTTCGAAATCCTGCGCGTGATCTCTTTCCGGTCGTGTTGAATTACCACCCTATCGAACTATGAGAGTGAGAGAATAGAAAATGCACCTGTGCTTATGCAAACACTCGGGCACTACAATCCTGTACTGTGTTGATGACTAAAAGCCGTTTTGAAGAATGGCCGGCGTAACCGAGTTTCGGTCTGGAGAATATTATTAATGACCGTGAAGACAGAGTGATGGTGGTGAAGACCCATCATATCACATACCTTCTGTGGGTAACGTTATAGACTGGGACTAAGTCAAATCTTGTAGAATTCGGTAACGCAGCTCGCATTTCGGTTACGGCGGCATAACTTAACGGAGATAGCAATCTACGCAGGACAGAGTTATAGTGCCTGAGTATATACGCAAACACAGGTACACTCTCTATTTCCTCACTCAAGTACGATGGAACGATAATCCGACACGACCGGAGAGAGATCAGGCGCAGGAGCAGGACAAAAGGGCTTTACGTGCTTTCGGGGGTGAGATTTAGACACCGCCAAGAGTTACTTCTAAGAATATCTTAGATTTTGTGCATATCTGGGATTCGAATCAGAAAACTCGAACAAAAAAACAAAAAAAAAATCAATGAGGCTGTCATATACAACCTATTTTAGATGACCACATCAATGAATTCGTTGACGTATAATCAGCCGTTAGGGAAAAGTTTACTTCAAATTAGTAGGTAGTATTTATTCTATTGAATGAACAATGTCTTAAATTGTCAATAAAAAACGACGGGTTGCACTCCGGGAGTGCCGGCAGAAGTGAAAACTTGAATATTAACGTTGTACATTTTTGATATTTTGGAATGATTAGGGAATAATTTTGCACGAATTGCTTTAATTATCACACACACAGTATATGAACATTCTCGCAAGCGCCCTGCACCGCCAAAACGAAACAGCAGGCGCAGGAATACATTTCCTTCGCGCCGTAGAAAGAGAGTGGGATACTTCATCTCTATGCCGCGCCGGCTGTCTCTCTCTCTCTCCATCCGTCTTACGAATTTTCGATCAGGGTCACGTGTCCTGACGCGAGTTTAACTTTTTTTACCCATTACAAAAAAGTGTACAACGCCGCTAAAGAAGTTTCCACTTCAAAAATATCTACACCATAGGCTTCTACTTCGTTACATACACTCACACACAAACAAACACGCCTCCGCACGCGCGCACAAGCACATACATAGCAATTCGTCGTTATAAGAAAAAAGACGTAAACGACAAAAGCTGTAAGAGTTTTTCTAGTTGCCACTAAGCCAGCTTGACTACTTCACTCGACGTAATGCTAAAAATGGCTTAGTAGAAAAGAACTGTACCTTCTCTCTTCTTCAGTCATCTCCTTCTTAATGAGCTCCTTTTCAGCGATCTGCGCGTCGCGGATTGCGTGACACTTGGAAGCCAAGATGAAACGATTGCAAAGTCGGGGACCTTGCATGTCATCAGCTCGGAGGGCTGCGGACAATCATGAAAATAGTAATGGTCCTCACACACGGTCAGTTAAAATGATCAGTTGAACTGACGTACATCCAAAATCTGACCGTGAGTGTGGAATTTTAAGTTGAAATTTTCAACTGACGACATCCCTCGGATTTTTTCCGGTTCACTGTCAGTTGAAACAGCTCAGTCAAACTGACGTACATCCAAAAACTGATCGTGAGTGCGAAATCTTAAGTTGAAATTTTTAACTAATGGCATTCCACGGAGTTTTCCGTAATCCGCTGGCTAAAGTTCGTTTTAATTACTGGTAAGTACCTACTTTCATAGTAGCTACTTACATTATTTCTATGCTATTTACATTTTTTTATCATTTTATATATTTAGAGAATTTCGTTTGATGGAGTATGAAGACTAAGGTGACTGTGATGATGTAACCTTCCTTATGATTAACTCAGAAGGTGGGTAAAGGATCTCAGTGATGCTACGTAGAAACATCTTGTAAAAACTCATTTTCGAAAAGGTTCATGAAGATTTAGATGACTGTGATGATATCACCTAGTTGATGGTTGACTCCGAAGGGATGCTTAGGATCTCAGTGACGTCACTCTAAAGAACCTTTGCGTTTGGACTCATTTGAAAGGTACTCATAAAGACCCAGATGACTCTGATGATTTCACCTTCCTTATGGTGGAATCCGAAAGTAAGTTTAGGATCTCAGTGACGACACTACATAGAAGCACTATGTTTGGACTCATTTAAAAGGGCTCATAAAGACCTAGGTATCTGTAATAATCTCACATTCCTGATGGCGGTCTCAATATCTGGGTAAAGGATCTCAATTATGTCGCTACGTAGAACCATCGTTTTTAGACTCATTTAAATACCAAAGTGCTTGTGATGATCTCACCTACCTGATGATGGTGGAATCCGAAGTTGAGTATAGGATCTCAGTGACGGCACTAGATAGCATGATCGTGTTTCAACGCCTTTGAAAGGGCTCATAAACCTAGCTCACCTTCTCAATCCGAAGATGGATATAGGATCTCAGTTGACCTCATTTGAAAGGGCTCATAAAGACCTAGGTGACTGTTATGATCTCACCTTTCTGATGGTGCAATCCGAAGATGGATATAGGATCTCAGTGACGGCACTAGATAGGATGATGGTGTTTGACCTCATTTGAAAGGGCTCATAAAGACCTAGGTGACCGGTATGATATCACAGGATAAAACACAAGGAAAATATATAAAACTAAACTAAACACCTACATGTGTTATGTAACTTTATACAATACGAAAAATTTACGTAGACAGAGTATTCTCAGTCTACGAAAATTTATTATTATATAAAACTCAACATATTTGATTATCAAACAAATCAAATAATAACTTTATTAATTCTAGACTTGTTTATATTATCATTTTTGTACAACCTTATGCTGGGGCCACACTAACGAGAAATGCCGTTAATTATCGCGTTGATGGACGTTTAATGTAGGTGTGGTCATGACTTAGTGCGTTAATATGACAATGGCATCAACAATGCCGTTTGCCGTTTGGCGATAACTCGAGTGGTGGTACATCAATGAGTTTAACGCACGAAATAATGTGTTGTGGCGGCCACACCACGTGTCACTGTGCACGATGAGTGCAACGGAGTCGCACGTATGGCTATGATGGAGTGGAATAATAAAATATTATTTCGTTTCCTGAGATTCTGCAAACAGAGCTATGTTTGTGGGATCCGAGACTTAAAAGTTTTTATAATCGTACATCGTAAAATGATGCTTTGCGACGAATTATTCAATTACTATCTTTTAAAACAACTATCGAAGAATTAGAAAGACGAAGGAACGCCTAATGAGTTTTTAGAGAACCATTTTAAACTAATATTAAAAGACTTCAAGGAACATTTACGCCAACTTTAACGCCGTTCAATGGCATTGAAATTCACTCACTTTATCGCGTTAAATTTAAAGCAATAATTGCTGCGTTTATCGGCGTTGAAGTGTCCCGTTAGTGTAGCTTCAGCTTTAGCGCGTTCGCTCGATAACGGAGGGGCGGGGCCGTACCATGGTCGCGTGGTGGGCGAAGTGTTGAAATATGGATATCGACAGTCGACGTTTTTCTCAATAAAAAGTTTTAATTTTTTATATTTTCTCGAAAGCCATTTAATCTACTACTACCAATCTAGTGTACTTCATTTATATACCCTATATTATGCTTTTAATTTTCCCCCAGTTTATTTATTTGCTTATTATCTTAAAAAGAAATGTAATTTTGTATAGTATACCCTTGTAGTATTAAAATTACTATGATCTACAAAACTTACTTTACTTCCTGTGTGTTTTGGCGGGAACTTGACCGTCGACGGATTGTTGCTCTTGTTTAATCGTTTAAATAATGGTTTGAAGTGAATTTTGATATGTAAAAGTGATGTGATTTTATGTATTAAGTGTATGCGCATGTGAACTAATAGAGAAAACGCTTCGAACGAAAGTGCTTAGATGTTAATATAAGCCTCAAGTTATTTTGATCGCTTAGACATCTTATGAACTTGAGTTACTGTCGTCATCGACTGTCCGCTGGGTTACTACCGTTCTATCAGAAAAAGCTGTTAAATATTCGATTCCTTCAGCTACATGTGCAGTACCTGTGGTAAATATAATCGTCTTATTTTAATTAAAAAATAATTAATAAGAACTATAATCTAACATTTTCATATATTTAAAATTTAATTATATTACATTAATAAATTTAATAAAAATATAATAAATAAACTAAATGACTTACGATTGTTTTTTTAATAAAGCCGATATATCAATATTTCTTTCAATATATAAAACTTCGATATTGACTTACTGTATATTAACTCACGATATATAAAACTCCGATAGTGATATATTTATAATTATCGATATATCGAAAATCCGATATTCTAAAAAATATCAACAACCCTAATTTGAGGCCTCTTGTGGCACGTTTTCATTAAATATTCTTGGCACTAAATACCTACGCGTCCTTTCACCAAAGTAGTTTTGCGCACTTGGTTCCTCAAACAGTTTACGAGTATTCTTTCTTAAATTACCATAAATTGATTTCCTAACTAAAAATTTACTTTTGTATCCTTCAATTGCTATAAATACTTTGTTTTTCTCACGTCCTGGTAGAATATTGCATTTCTTATACAATATAAATATAATAGTTACCCTTACTTTTCTCTTTAGCTTGCTTATTAACTAACAGTTTAATAAATCTTAGTTGAAGATTATGTATTCTATCCATGTACGTTCGGAACGTACGTCCATAGGCTGAAAGGCCATAATTAATTACAGAATCCACGAGAGCATAGTACAGAATGCGTAAAGTTGTTTTATCAACTACACTTTTAAGGTGTACAAACTTACATAATAACGATCTTAATTTATTACATACTCGTTCTATATGGAAATTCCAACTAAACTTAGTATCTATGGTTAATCCTAGATATTTGTAATTATCAACAAGCTCAATCGATTTACAACCAATGCATTGTTTATTTCTAAGCAAGCAATCATACGAATGGCCTATGATATTTATAGGTATACATGGTTTATGCAGGTATGGCGATTGAATGAGCATGCATTTCGTTTTCTCTATATTTAAAATTATTCCATTATCGTGGGACCATTTGATTACGTTATCAAAATCCGATTGTATTTTGTTCTCAATCACCTTTATATCCCTGTCAGCATACATCATACATGTGTCGTCAGCATACATGTATGTTCTGCAGTTTTAGCAACGTTTACCATGCTATTTACATGCATGATATAGCCCACAGAGCCAAACACAGAGCCAGTAGGAACTCCAGTACTAACTAATTTACCATGACAAATTGTTTCTTTTATCTTTGTGCACAACATTCTGTTATGTAAATAATTACGAAACCATGAGCTGATTGGCCCGCGGATTCCGCACTCTTCCATAGCCACCAACAGCTGCTCATGGTCCAGCGTATGAAACGCTTTTTTTAAATCTATGAATAGGAGAAATACATACTGCTTACTACCTAAGCATTCGTTGATATCGTCGGTGAAAATATATAAGGGGGATAAGTCGCTCGCGTCCGTAGGCTTTGACCACCTGTTCCTAGGCCCACCCTACACGCGTCCCCCGGGTGGTGCTAAATGAGCGACATGCCGATACCACAGACTCGGCTCCACGCCGTGGTAGCGGCGTTAAATATACCACCCCATTTCGCACCATGAGGAATCGAATTAAAGAAATGGCCCCGAGTTCCCGGCGCCCCTTTAATGGGGCAGGGGTGCGAAGAATCTCCGAGAAGAAAACCGGCGACGAGGTTCGCTACCCGTCACGTTCTGTCTCCCGGAGAGGCGAAAAGTGGATTGCAGAGGCCCGTCTGGCTACGTTGAATGTATGTGGGGCAATGAATGATAAAATGGATGAAGTATGCGATATGATGTATGATAGAGGAATTGATGTGTTATGCGCAAATGAGACGAAAAGGAAGGGGAAGGATGTCACTACACATGGCATGTATACCGCATACTGGTCTGGTGTAGACGAGATCGAGCGGGCATGCCAGGGAGTAGGTATCATCCTTTCAGAAAGAATGGGCCAATGTATGAAAGAGTATGAATGTGTAAGCCCAAGACTGCTATGGATACGAATGAAAGTGGGCTTAAAGAAGTTGTTTGTGTTAGGGGTCTACGCCCCAGACATTTCTAAGCCCACTTATATCCGAGAGCAGTTTTGGGAAATGGTAAGGATGGTGTTAATGAAGTGTAAGGGAAATGAAAATATTATTATGCTAGGAGATTTTAATGGAAGGGTTGGGGTCAGGAGGCTTGGTTATGAAAGGATATTGGGAACGTTTGGTGATAAAGTATAAATGAGAATGGTGAAAGTCTCCTCACCGTATGTATGGAAAAGAATCTTCTTGTGACGAACACTTGCTTTCGCCACAAGAGGATTCACATGTATACTTGGGAAAGAGGTGACGATAGAAGCGTG